TTTTTGCTTCTGCTGTGTGGTAGTCAGAGGAGTTTATGAATTCAGCAGATGTTGTCAGGTAACGGAACTGTGGAGAAGTCTAAAATCATTGACATCTGTTTAGTTTTTAACATAATACTCTGGGGAGGGTGTGAGCCTAACAAAGATTACAGCTGCCTTGTGGTGGGACGTGATGCACCATCAGCTGCTTCCTGCATGGCCTGTGTGCTGCTGAAGCAGAATGGCAAGTCCAGTTGTGAACCAGGGCGATGTAGAGTAATGGTGTTACAGTGGTGAGCGTAACTGCCTTCCAAGCAGTTGATCTGAGTTCAATTCCAAACTATTTCAGGTGGTATGGTGGCACAGCAGTTAGTATTGCTGCCTCAAAGTGCCTGGGACCTGGGTTCAATTCCATTCCCGGGTGACTGTCTGTGTGTACTTTACACATTGGCCCCGTTTCTGCTGGGTGCTATGATTTTCTTTCACAGTCCAAAGACGTGCAGGTTGGGTGGATTGGCCACCATAGATGTGAGGTTATGGGAATAGGATGGGGGTATGAATCTGGGTAGGATATTCTTCAGAGAGTCAATGTAGACTTGATGGACTGAATGGCCTCTTCCTGCACTGTAAAGGTTCTATGAACCAGAAAATTTTGAATTGGCGCAATTCTGATGCCACACAATGTGAAACAGCCAGGCCCTAAATTGGAGGTAAGGTTTTTTTTGCGATCTTATCCTACTGCAACACATTTCGAAATACCCTGCAACATTTGTGGCCACATTTTCCTGTTGATATTCCTGATATTCTGCAGAGCTTTGCTGCACGTCACAGCAATGCTTCAGGTTTAAGTAACCTATCTACACCAAGGCTGCAATAGATAGCAAAGGGTGATAGCATGCAATAGCCTCTGCCAAATTGCAATGGGACTCCTCCATGATCTTGACAGTAACAGGAGGCTGTACAGTAGGTCAGCCAATGCACCCAGCATCTCGCTGCTCATGCCCTTGATGCTTAACATCCTCATCTGAGTAGTCTGTTGTAGGATACTTCTGTAACCTGGCTGTCCATTGAGCTGGTAAATGAATTATTCTTCATCAGTGGCATGACTTGCACGCAGCTGACGAGCATGCAGTAAACTCTCTTTATGCTGGTCACACCTTGGCACAAGCCTTCAGGGAATGTGCAGTGCCAGTATCCTAAAAATGTCATGTCAAGTAGCAGTCCCTGTTTATCAGTGCAAAGCCATTGTTCACTTTCTGCCTCCTTAGCCTGGAGTGGCTGCATAAGCAATTGTTCCTGGATGTCTGAGAATAGGAAATTGGAAGGACAAAAGAAAAGGAAGGGTAAGGTGTGATATAAAGAAAAAGAATCTATAAATAAACCTTCTGCAATTGACTCATCATACCAGACAACAGGACAGAGATTGTGTCATGAATATGTTGTGGTATAGCTTCCCGAACACTCAAATGTACTCCACAATGAACCAAATGAAACTTGGTTATCAGCAAAAATAATCACACACTCAGGCTTATTTAGCAAATGCTGTCCAATCACATTTAATGCTTAACACTATGTAATGGGCTATGCAAGTGTGGGCTGTTTGGGTATGATCAGTATGTTGTTTGTTGCAAATAGCTGAAGTGATATCCTCTTTAATGCAACCTGCTGGTACTTGAGATGTTGTGTCCAGCTCTGAAAATCATATACCACATTTCTTATTTTTTACGATAGGCGGAACATTTGAGAACTTCCACAAAATTTAGTAACAGTAATTCAGAGAAAGCAACCTCAGAAAGAGACAGGAAAATGTAGCTGCAACTCTGAAGTCTTTGGTTTTGATTATGGAAAACAAAATACTTTGATGAATTTCTGAACTAATTTCCTGAATGGAACAAATGGAATGAAAATCGGGCAACTTATTTATGCTAATAAATCACTGCTATCTTCCTCCCACATACAGAAAATGTAAATGCATTTTGATGTGTTGATATAGAGGTGTAAAATGGAACACAGTTACAACTGAACAGAAAAGAATCGTAGAATCATTTTAAGAATTGTAGGCCATTTGCCCCTAAAGCCTGCTCCAACATTGTTGGAGATCATTATTGACCTAACTCTAATTCCTTGGTTTATATCCATATATAGACCTGGTTAACAACATTCTATCCATCTCAGATTTAAATTTAATAACTGAGCTAATATAAATTACTGTGCATGTAAGAACATTCCACGCTTTCACCACACTAAATGGCAAGATGTGTTGTTGCAGTTATACAGGACCTTGGTGAGACCACACCTGGAATACTGTGTGCAGTTTTGGCCTCCTTTTCTGAGGAAGGATGCTCTTGCTCTTGAGGCAGTGCAGCGAAGGTTTGCCAGGCTGATTCCAGGGATGGCGGGTCTGATGTATGAGGAGAGATTGACTAGTTTGAGATTGTTTTCGCTGGAGTTCAGACGAATGAAGGGGGATCTCATAGAGACTTATAAATTTCTAACAGGACTGGGCAAGGAAGATGCAGGGAGGATGTTCCCGATGGTGAGTGTGACCAGAACCAGGGGTCACAGTATGAGGATTCGGGGTAGATGATTTAAGATGGAGATGAGGAGACATTTCTTCACCCAAAGAGTGGTGAGCCCATGGAATTCATTACTGTAGGAAGTAGTTGACGCCAAAACATTGAATGCATTCAAGAAGCGACTAGATATAGCACTGGGGGTGAATGGGATCAAAGGTCATGGGGAGAAAGCAGGATTAGGCTATTGAGTTGGACGATCAGCCATGATCATGAAGAATGATGAAGCAAGCTCAAAGGGCTGAATGGCCTCCTCCTGCTCCTATCTTCTATGTTTCTATGTTTCTCACTCTTAAGTGAGGAACCAGCCTTCTGCATTTTGATTAATAGAAAATAGAAAATGTTTAAAATTTTACAAAGCTAAATTCCTCACTGTATTGTATGCACAAAGGTAATTAAAGGACATGTATTATGATGCAGCCTGGCGATGGGCCACAAGTATTAAACAGATTCTGACTGTTTTGACAGAAGTTGTTAAGGAGATGCATAGACAGTGTTAGGTCTGACACTGAAATAATCCACAATGTGTATGCGACCATTAACATAGTTTGTTTTTTTCATAACAGAAAAGTCATTGGGACTTAAATTTCAAGTGCATAAATTTAAAAAACAGTTTGATGAGAGATTATAGAATCATAGAAGCCCTACAGTGCAGAAAGAGGTCATTTAGCCCATCGAGTCTGCACCGACTCTCTGATAGTCATCCTACCTATACCCAGCCCTCTACCCTATCTCCATAACCCCACATTTAGCATGGCTAACCCACCTATCCTGCACATCTTTGGACTGTGGAAGGAAACTGGAGCACCCAACAGAAACCCACACAGACACAGGGACTTTTCAAATACTCAACAACATACAAATGAGACTAAATTATCATTTGCAACACTTTTATCTTTAACCATTTGATCGAAAATATTTGAAATTAGACTTGTTTTTAACATTTACTAATTTTATCTCCTGAGGCTGTTGTGTTCTTGCTATGAATGTTGGCCCAGAATGCAATATAACAGGCTGAGCTGTAGACAGACAGGAAAATGCAGTTTATCCGAGATAAGATTGGGTCTACCAACCATCTCTAACCTCTCACATCAGGAAATTGATATGATAAATTGACAGCTGGGCAAAATCACACAGCAGATATACATTTCAGGTTAGATGTGACTTTTAAACCTTTACTTCTGATGTAATTACAGGCACTCAATCATGAAAAGAATATCCTGACATTGGTAATTTTAACTTAAATATGATCCACATACGTTGCAATTACTTTGTACTTCTAATTCTGTTTTCTGTCTCATTTCTCTTCCGTGAAAGTGGGCTGAACTACTTTCAGACCTCTTGGTAGTTTTGATCTGTTTCAATAATGCTGCAGTTACAGGAGGCTTACTTCTCTTGAGTTAGAGATCCCTTGCAGACAGAGTGCAAATTTTTAATTTGATTGTCGCTCCTTATTGTCAACACTGTAGGAGAGAGCAAAAATCCCCGTCATCTGACAGGGAGGACAAGACCCTGGACTTTTCTAACATCTAAAATACTGGACAAAATCCTGGCTTAGGCTGCAACAAACACACAGGGCCAGAATAATTTCTGTCTGGGACTATTGTTCAACCTTGAATTCCAAGTTACACCTCCACACTAAGAGAACAATCAAACAAACCTAACAAACAGTTTCAGTAGACCATGGGCAACCCAGCACAGGCAATATGGGGCCTACAGAGACACCAAACATTCAACTTCTATCAAAATCCATTCACAGGGATATTGGGCATTCAACTTCAATAAAAGTCCATTCACAGAGATACTGGACGTTTGACTTCAATCAAAATCGATTCTTAATGATCGGAAAAACAATTAACTTCAGAAGGTAACACAGTGTGGAGCTGGAGGA